GTCACTTGATCGAGTTAGACACACTATCACATTACGAGACAAATGTCAGCGCAGAAATATAATTGAATTTGACGTCACTTCTTGTAATCAAACTCGAGCGTGAGTGATGTCAAGTCCTAAAGGCAGATGAGGGAAAACATATACTCTGTTTTATGAGTGATGCCATAATAATCATGATGTCAAGTACCACAGGCAGATGAAGGAAAAAGAATTATAGATGGTGATGAGTGATGCCATAAAAGTAATGGTGTACTGTAGGTAGATGAATGAAAAATATAATCTATATCAAATATGGTGATGAGTGATGCCATATAATAATGATAATAGTGATAATAATGATAACAATTAGGATGTGATGATGTGATGTTATAATGATAACTTGAATATAGCAATTTTACAACACACCCACCACTACCAACAATGATGATAATGATTTCACGATTAAACTCAAAAGTTAATGAGGTTTCCATTCCGTGGCCTAATATTACCTATTAATTCTTACTTAAGATTAGTCAATATGCTTAGCATCCAATCCAAGTGAATTGTGAGACGAAATAAAAGGAAATGAGAGGGAGGAAATGGAGGAGAAGGAGAATCAGAGGTAAAGGGGATGATACTGATAATGATAATAATGATAAAGATAACACTAATAATGATGATAATGGTAATATTGATGATTTTATTAATTGTGTTAAAAATCATGATACTGGTGATGTGATGTTGGTGATGATGATAATAATGATGGCGATAATAGTCTTACTTATGCTATAAATGATAATGATGATGGAAATGATAATGACAATGATAATGATTATGATGGTATTGATATTAATAGTGACAATGATGATCATAATCCTAAACATAATCAGATAATACAGATGACAGTGATAATTATGATAATACTATAGATAAGGATAATAATGTTAATACTAATGATAGTGATTATAAAGGTTGGAATCATAAAAGTGGCATTACCACTGATGATAATCACAATAGCAATACTATTAATAATCGCAATGACGATAATATTAATAATAATAATGATAATACTATGAAATAAATGAATTTTCAATATGGGATGCAACTGAGTCACAAAAAGACCCTTCAGTATACTTAAAAATTGCAATAGGAACTGGGTCATCATGTAACACACTGTACGATAACCTTTCCAGCGTTTGGTTGCGCACACCTTTACCCTTGCCAGCCGTAAGACTACTTGTTTAAATAGTTATGATTTCGGTGTTCGGAATTATGTTCATGATAATAAAGAAAATGGCAACAGAATAGTTAATATGGTAATGACGGGCTGCAACGATAAGAATAAAGATAACGATTATGACAAATATAATAATGGTAATGATAACGATGCTATTGTTAACAAGAATAATAATGACAGTGATAATAATAATGATGAGGAAGATGATAACAGCTTACTGCTACTAACAACAGGAAAACACCAAAACAATAGTAATAGTATTTGTTACAATATTTGAAAAAAAAATAGGCAGTAGTAATAATATTGATAATGATAACGACAACAATCTGGTATTGATAATAAACAGTTACCATAAATATTATTATCATAATCTCATTACTATTGATCTTATGATCCTTAAAAGATACTAACGGTAAAGATTATTATTATTTATATAATTTCTTTATAAACGTTGTCGTAGTTATCTTGATAACAAGAACAATGATCGCGTTGATTATAAGGGTAAAGATAGACCTATATTATCTCTTTGAATTTAATGAATAAATGAGGCAGTAAACTCACAAATAGATTATTAACTAAGATAAAAATAACCTGATGGCATGCTGTTCTGTATATCATAATGGAAATTCCATTACTTTATCTTCGTTAAATTTATGTTATCAGCGGTTAAAATAAATACATTGTCAATTTCGGACATCTGCCTAATTGTAATCAATGTCACTCAATCCTTTAAATCCCTCTTTCTTCTGTATCTACCCTACTCGAAAATTGTTCTCAATCAACAAGTAAATCTGATGTACAGAGAGGTAGGGACTGGCACACTATTTTGGACTTTTTCTTTCCTTTCAACCCACCGGCTGCGCAGTACCATCGTATTTTCTAACTTTGCCGTGAGAGATGATTATTGGAACGAGCTAATCTTATACATATCGTGCGATTATCGTAAGTCTTAAGGGATTCGCTTTATTGATTGCCTAACCTCAAAGTTCAAGATGTCTTCTGCAGTGCTGCACACCAGGAATTCAGAAAAGACACGGTGGCTAGAGGTAATACGCTTACCATACACAAAGGCTTTAATAATACGATCAAATTTACTCTCTTCAGTTATATAGATAATCAAATAGATCGAAAGACAGAAAGAAAGAAAAGGGAAAAACAAAGAAACGAACAAGGGAGAGGCGTGGGAAGAGGGGCGTGTTTGCCGTACGACAATTGTATCCATTCTCGGCACGATATCGGTATTCCCGGGATGGAAACAGGGTAGCCACGCCCCCTAACCCGAGG